TGTTTAACATCTTTTTAAATAATTATTTCAATGAGAAATTTTTAATTTTCGAATATTAATTACATTGACGAGAATATTTTTAGTAATAGATTTCCACGTCACCCAGGAGGTACTATAATTGACGCGTTTTTTTTAAGTGGTTTCCTCAGTACTAAAAATATTCTCGTCAATGTAATTTATTCGAAAATTAAAAATTTCTCATTGAAATAATTATTTAAAAAGATGTTAAACATATCACGTTTTAGAAACTGACATTTGGCAGTCAAGGGGCACGCAACGGCGTCGGATTACCGATACGTCGTACCTGAAGCTGAGCGTCGCGCGCTTGGTTACGGTTGTTTAATGACTGGAGTAGGGGGTGATAGGCGGTACCTCGCGAAAATCGGCCGAAATGAGCAGTTCGTGGACAGCTCTGTTTTAAATTAATGTTTCAAAAATATTTATGAATTATTAAGTAGTATTCTTTGAGTGACGTTTACTTTTTATTGATTATTGACTTTTTTTTAAATAGTACATTATTTTCTTTTTAATAAGGTATACAACAAAAAAATTAAAATGCAATACGAGATGTATACTGATGATAAGAAGTTTTGAAAATTGATACTAGGGTCTCATGTAGTCGCTGAAGATAGGATAAAAACAGGTGAATCAGCGCAATTCACATACTTATGCTATAGTTCCATTGAAATTAATATTTAACACTTGAATTTGGTTCACAAATATATGAACTTTTTGGATTAAAATACAAAATTGAGTTTATTTGCAGGTTGTTCCACTCCCAATCATCTAGTAGAAATTACGACACTTCTATTAAGTCATACAGTAATATCCATTAAATATTACATATATCTAATTATTTATTTTTCAATTTTAATATTTACACAGCACATATTTAATCCCATTCTATAAAAATAACATGTTATTAAAAAACCTTTAACTTTATCTGGAGTTTCTAATAATTTCTGGTCGTATGTAAAAGTGATATATATCCGACTGTTGTTTTTACTAACTGAAAATAATATATTTTTAGTTATAATTAATAATGTAATAAATTTATAATACCACATTATGTTTAAGATAAGTGTGTGTTTGTGTTTGCATGTTCGCGCGAGAGTGTGCATGTGTGTACACAGAATGTCCGACGTAAAAGTGATCTGAAAAATGAAGATAGATTATTAACAGACGGATTATCCTAAACTATACATCCATCTTTCAGTGACTTTTATGTCAAATACCATCTATAATATGAGATTCATGGGTACAGATTACACATTATATGTTGATATGATAACATATTTATAACTTAAATTAGTAAAATGCAGATTTTTGTACGAAAAACATTGCAAATACAATGTTATTCCAATGCTTCAGCACAGTAATTAGAATTAAACACTAAAATACCTTACATTGCAAAATGTAGCCATTGTTATGGGGAACATTTTTCCAGCGGTGAGATAAATCGGTTTAGCACCTCTTATCAGCACAAACAACAAGTCGCGTGCAAGTTTTGGATCCACAGAATACCACTCATTACTGTAGGCCGCATAATTCATTTCATCACACTAAAAAGTGTTAAAAGTCCTTATAATTAAAATGATATACATATATTGTTCCATAAGAAAATTAATTTAGTCATGGATTCTAATAAAATTTATGTTCCATTGTAAATTGTACATTTTATGTATTCATGTAAACAATGAATGTAATATACATATGACTAATTTATTACTTAACAGTTTAATTAAATTTTACAGTATTTAATTTAGTATAAACGATATTAAATCATCAACATATGTCTACATTATATTTTGATACTAATTTTAATTTTGCTATGTGCTTCTGCATAATAAATATTAAATTTTAACTATTATATAAATCGTATAGTAATGTAAAGCGAAACACAGCATATATAATTTGTTTAATGTTTATTCATATATGTAATCACACATATATAAAAAATGTAACTTACTTTGGCCACCAAAAATTCGCCTAGGGCACAGTATAAACACATATGTCCAAATATGTCGCAAATCATGGCTACAAAAAATATCAATCTACCAAGTGATAAATCATTTCCTTCGTCGAATAACTATTTAATTTAGAGAATATAATAAGAAAATGTAATTTTACAATTAAACTTATTTTGGATACTTAACATAAAACATTATATGTATAAATATAGTAACACAACCTAGATATCATTCAGTTAATAATTTTCACTATTTTATTTATGTGTTAAAAATTTATTAATAAGTAAATATTTATTCGTAAAAATTTGCACACTCACGCTAATTATCCGGAAACCGAAGAAAGCTAAATGTATTGCAAAGTATACGAATAAAGCTAGAAGTGTTATATTATACGTGTCTTCAACAATTTCAATAGCCCTGTAAAACATATTTTTTTTATTAGAGACATTTAATTAATATAAATATTTCGTATAAATTATTTACGTGAATTCATATAAATATCAAACCTAAGTAAACTAATATGTTTTGTCACACAGCTCTTTAGCATATTATGAGAACTCATATATTTATCCAGACATGTGATACGATTTTTAAGGATGTCTAATTGGCCGCATATATGGAAGATTAGTAACCCGAGAAAATTGTCAATTCCAGAATAAGTCATGATTGAGAAAACGATGGCGATAGATTGGCTAATAAACGTTAGTTCGTACTGCGGCCTTTTTGTTATATCGTAACTATAATATGTTTGTAGAGGCATTGGTTTGCCTGGATCAGTAATATTGGGCGTCAATCTCACTGATATTCCAAAACTCGGAAGAATGATTGTAAAGAAGCACGCTACTCCCATTAAGCAGTAGGCGCACATAATGATTATGCGTGCATTCTGCGCATGTCTAATCATAATGTTTCTATCGTGAACATTTTTCGACTTTACCCAATCCTCCGCGATCATATTTACGATTGGTACGATACCTTCAAAAGCGTCAATATTATTCATTTTAATGCTCACTTATCAACAGTGGAATAGAAACAATATCAAGTTGAATTACAAGAACTAAAAAAATAACTAGCGTTACACATATACACATATGTGGTGTTACACCAATTATGTGACGTCCTGTTAATGTATGAGTATATTTAAAAACTAATTTTTCTGATATAAAAACATAAATGGTTTTGTAAATTAGAGATTATTATAATTTTCTTATAAATGTGGTATGTATATCGCCCTTGCATGCCACATTTTCGGATAATGAGTTACAGTGACAAAGCATTAGTTATAGCACAAAAATGCCTACCTTCTTTCTTCCACCAAAAAATCATGATTCTTATCGTGGAGCTTAAAGCTGCTAAAGTATATTGTAAATTATCTATCATTAAAATGATATCCCCATAAATTCTTATGAAGGAATGTATACAAGGGATTAGAATGCCAAACGTTAGCGTAAGAAAAACGACAAGTACTCGTAAATTGCACATTAACTTCTGTCGAGAGTTCTGTGTGGTTGTAGGCCAAAGTCCAATAAATTCTAAAGTGATACGATTCAATTTCACCGCCCATTCGAAATCTACCTGTAGAAACCTCAGTAAGTCACAGATTATAAAAAGTATCACAGAATCTTAATGAATTAATTAACAAATAATATAACGCGTGTGTAAAATTGTATGTTTAATGAAATGCATAAAATAGAAAATATTTAACAAAACTAACTTTTTATCAATAATATTAATTTAAAAATTATTTAAGAAATAATAAATAAGTGACAATAAACTCTCGGATTTCAAATACCTATAATAATAATTGGCTAATGTTTGTTACAATAATTAAATATGTTAATAATCAATCATGTTAATGCTCTACATATATTTAAAACATGATGCAAAACTTCCATTAACAGCGACAAAATAGAATGTGAATTACATGTCACTGTCATTCTATATCATAAATAAATGCATTTATGATAAAGTAGCTGTCCTTTCGAGTCACAACAATCACAATAATAAGCACCTTGGTGTGAGGTATATTTCGAACTGTCCATGTCGAAAGTCGTCTAAAGACTGTCATCTGTTTCTTTTCCAGAAAATAATAGCTCCGTTTGTCATTAGCGCGCATGCTTTTCCTGCCATTTCTCAGAAGTATTGAACGATCAACTTGTAACAAAGAGGTTTTAATATTCTGCCTCCCTTCGTTCCAACTTTTCAACACCAAACGTCACGCGAAGTATTAAAAAAATTTTCGTAATAACGGGTTGTTGTGTCACGTGAAAAGAATACCCGTAAGCACATCCGTTACGTTCACACGGTTTTGCGGCAGTTGCAGCTTATATCATCTGTACACGTATGTTACCAATAGACTACATGGATTCCAATGTTGCATACTGTCTCTCCCAGATAAATAATTTCGCAAAATTTTTCAATTTTAACATTAGTATGTAGTGACTAAAAATGTGAGAAGCACATCACTATAAACTACAATAAACATAATATATGTATAATTTCAAAATAACAGGTGTTGACTTTATGGAATAAAACAAACGGTTTAATTATTAAATAGTGCTTTTTTGAAGCAAATAATATAAAAATTAGAAATTATAATGTTTATATCTGCTACAAATGTCTCAATTTATTTGAAAAACTAAGTAGTCAACATATAAATATGCGTACAATTAGATATTTAAAATTATATATGTTGTATACATATATGTGTGTATGTATGTATACAGGGTGTCGGATTCGATTTGGACGACTCCAAAGATTATAGTAGATTGGGTCAAACTGAGAAGAAAAGTTATATACCATTTTATAAAATCCGTAATTATTATCGCGTAATTAAGAAAAACGTCCGAGCCAATAAGTGCACGGAGGAGCGGAAGGCCGGACTCGGCAGACACGGTAGAAATTCATGTTACTGTTAAATCACACATGCAGTAAAATCTATTAATAATTTGTCAATATATAATAACATTTTAATATTTACACTTAGTTTGTCGCTTTCTACAAATAACACGTTATTACAACAGGTTTAGCTTTAGTTAATATTTTTAATAACTTCTCGTCGTATGTAAAATCGATATATATCCGACTGACGTTTTTATTAACTGAAAAATATATCTTTTTAGTATGGATAATTAATAATTAAATAAATTTATAATCACATATAAAATTTTAGATGTGAGTTCATGCGTGCGTGAATGCATGCTCGCGCGCGCGAGTGTGTGTGTGTGTGTGTGTGTGTGTGTGTGTATACAGGGCGTCCAAAGTAAAAGTGACCAACCGGAAAAGATAGGGTGGAATAAACTGAAAAGAGAAGTTAGGAACCATTTTGTAACAATAGTTATCGAGTAATAAACAAAAACATTTAAGTGAATGAGCTCATGTAAAGCGGTGACTCGGACTCGACAAGCATGCAAAATGGTTTAATCGTTGATCTCGGTACGCGCTCATTCGTCCGATTTAGAAAATTAATTTTTCGTTTATTATTGAGAATATCACAAAATGGTACAAGACTTTTTCGTTTATTTCAGTCCGTTCTATCTTTTCACAAATTTTGTAAAAAGATGTATGATTCACCCTGTATGTAGATGCAATAAATTATTTATAAATTATTAAATTAGTGAAAAGTGGATTACCATTTGGAAAATTTTTCAATTACGATACTATTCAAATGTTTTAGCTTAGTAGAATAATTATAATTAAGCACTAAAAGACCTTACATTGCAAAATGTGCTCATTGTTATGGGGAACATTTTTCCAGCAGTGAGATAAATCGGTTTAGTTCCTCTTATCACCAAAAGCAACAAGTCGCGTGCTAGTTTTAAATCCACGGAATACCATTCATTACTGTAGGCTGCATAATACATTTCATCGCACTAAAACGTATTTATGATCTTTCTAATTAAAATTATACATGGTGTCGGATTCGATTTGGACGACTCCAAAGATTACAGTAGATTGGGTCAAGCTGAGAAGAAAAGTTATATACCATTTTACAAAATTCGTAATTATTATCGCGTAATTAAGAAAAACGTCTGAGCCAATAAGTGCACGGAGGAACTGAAGGCCGGACTCGGCAGACATGCAAAATGGTGTATTATTCTCCTACCACCAGAAAAACTTTTTCGGCGCGTTGTCATATGTCGCGCGTTCGCTCGCTGCGCGCCGTTCGCCCGCTCACCGCTCCCCGCTCGCCACTGTCTCTCATCGATCGATGCGTGACTCCACCTCTCGCTATCGGATCTTGAGAAATGTCAACAAATACACCATTATTGGCTCAGACGTTTTTCTTAATTACGGATTTTGTAAAATGGTATATAACTTTTCTTCTCAGTTTGACCCAATCTACTATAATCTTTGGAGTCGTCCAAATCGAATCCGACACCCTGTATATCTTCCCATAAGAAAATTAATTCAACTACAGATTCTGAGGAAATTTATGTTCTCATTTCAATTGCATATTTATAGAGAAAACCCCCTGTTATGCGACAGGCTTCTAATAGGAAACAGGTTTTCAACTTTTAAATTTAATTTCAAATCTTTTTTGTAACGATTAAACAATCTAAAAATAAGTTTTCCACTACACAAATTTTACGCCAACGATAATACATTCATGGTGTAACCAACAGATGATGCTCATTAATTTAGCTCAACTTTAGCAAAACCCGGCTATCTCATATTAGGAAACCATTTTATTATAGTGGACTATCCTCCATACAGGGTGTCTGATAACTTGCTAATGAACCAAAATATGTAGGTAGATTAGGGGACGAGGAGCAGCGGCGAACGGCGAGCGGTGGGTGAAGGGAGGCGAGCGGCGAGTAACGAGCGACGCTACGCCCACCTAGCCCGGCCTATAGTCGAAAGCCTGTTTCCGCGTGTTTATTCGCTTAGACGTACTAATTAATAACTCAATAACTATTGCGAATTTTGCATCATGTTATGTGACTTTTCTCTTCAGTTTGCCCTAATCTACCTACATATTTCGGTTTATCAGCAACTTATCAGACACCCTGTATACAGGGTGTCTGATGCAAAAGTAGCAATTTTGGAAATAGCGGTAGATTGGGTTAAACTAAGGAGAAATATCGGTAATTATTTAGATTAACACACCCACCTCCAATAACCTTGGGCTTGACATATATTATAGAGGTCACCCTCCTGAGTAACCCTCAGAAGGATTTAGCCGGCGCTCGTTGTTTATTAAAAA